TGAAATATCATTAGTAATTGCTTCAGAGGTAACTATAAAGGATTTTTCCAAATTAACTTGTATTGAATTAAGATCAAAAAAGAACTGAGTTATATCAAAATTTCCTTTAAGTTTAAAGTAATTCAAATTATATTGTCTATATATGTATAGAGATTGAAATATTATTTTGTCTCTAGTTTGTTAATAGTATAATAAGTTAGCAAAGTTGAGTCTTTTAATAACCTTATTCTTAACAAATATATCTTATAATTATTGATTCAGTAATTGGACCAAAGCTTTTCTAACTATTTCAAGTAATATTATCAGTCTAGTATTATTAAGTTAGCAGTTTCATGATTTAGATTTTAGTATAGGATATATAAAAGCTAAATTCTATTGTACTAGAGTAAAATTACTAATTAAGTATACATAAATAATATTGTAAAGGAAGTTTTTGCATTTCAGATCTAGTTTCTTTAATAACTTATTAATAATTTTGAATGGGCTTAGAGCTTTCTGATCAGATAAATATTTAATAATATTGTTCTATTTATCAATTGAGAGAAGATTCATGAGAGTATTATAAGCATCATTAGAAATTTCGTTAATAGAATTATAGTAACTTTTCCAAATAGGTCAATTTGAAGAAAAATTATTAGTGTGCAAATTAGTGATAATTCTATTTGTAAAGCTAGCAATAGTTTGAAAATGTTTAGCAGTATAAAATTTAATAGCATCTGGATCTAAAGCTAAATGTTGATTTGAAGTGTTATAATCTATCAAGACTCTATCTAATATAATAGTTTTACGATTTTTTTCTAAAAATGAGTTAATCATTTTTGTAAAAACATCTTTAAAATTATTTATACATTTTTGAATGAATTTATGTATATAATTATTATTTCTGATTTACTGATAATAAGCTGTTTTGTTTATAATAGTTTTAGAATATCATATTTTAATTTATATAAATATAGAAGGAGGCAATTATTATTATAATGATTTATAAAATCAGAAGAGATAAGATGTTCAGCTGCAATTTTAAGAATGAAATTATGGTCAGTAAACAAGATGAAAAAAGAATTATAAGAGGTAACATTGAGAAAAGAAGAGGATAAAGAAGAATTTTATATTGGTAGTATAATTTTTGAATTTTGTTAGATTGTTTATAAATCGAGAAATTTAAACATGAGTAAAGAGAATTATAATAAGCTAATACAGTCTGATCTTGATATAATGAATCTATTATATAACAAATTTTTGACTTACTAAACATTTTTTTAAGAATCAGATTCATAATATTTAAAAAAAATTTTGATATACTGAATATCATATAAAATCTATATAATGTATACTGAATTTTTATTGAGTAACTGTTTATAATAAAGTATAATAAAAAAATTTTCAATATATTGAACTGATCATATGATTAGTAAAATTAGTATTACAAAATTCAAAAATTGGTAAATCAGCATTTAGATAGATTTAATTAAACAATTTAATCAATTGTTTAGAATTTTTTTACCATATTATGAACTAAAAAAGAAAAATATAAATAATGAAGCAACATTAAAAAAAGAAAAGTTTTTACCTTTGAAGAAAAGAAAGAATTGTTTGCTTCATCAAGAAAATCTATCATTATCACAGAAAAAAAATAGGAAAAAAGTTTAGTGTAAAAAAAAATACTGTGTGTGATATTTTAAAAAATAAAGACAAATAGTTAAATATAAAACTTAATAGTTCTAATACAACTAAACAAAAAGAAAAATCACCAAAATTTTTTGAATTAGAAGAAGCTTTGACAATTTGGATTTCAAATGCTTTATTGACTAATAAAACTATAATGGGAGAAATCATTACAGCCAAAGCTGCTGATTTTGCAAAATTAATGAATATTGAAGGTTTTATCAGATCAGTAGGATGGTTAAATAATTTTAAAAAAAGATACAATATTAAGCAATATAATAAATATGGTAAAGCCTAAAACGGTCTAAATGAAGAAGAATTAGCCAAAAAAAGAGAAAAATTATAGGAATTAATTAGTAATTTTAATTTTGAAAATCTGTTTAACTATGATGAAACTGATAAATTTTTATATAACTTAAATTTTAAAAAGTAATTATAATAAATATAATTTAAATTTTAAAAATATTTTTATTTTA